GTTCTTTGGGGAACTGTGCAAAAATACTAAATCATTTTCAAAAGAGAAATATAAGGCTGATCTCAGATTTCCAAAGAGCAAATTTTCCACAACAGAAAATAGTGGAGCAATGCTTATAAATCCTCAAGAGAAATTGTAACCAAAGAATATTTAAAAAACTCAAAACATCACTCAAGTGCAAAGGCAAAAAATAAACATTTTGAACATCTGATGAGCCCTTCTTGTAGAAAATACTAGATGATGAACTTCCATCAGCCAACAGATAAATGAGAAAGACAACAATAAGACTGGCATTGGGACTGATCCACTTTACTGTAGGACAAAGATTAAAGCAAATGCAGGGATTATGGTAACAATGCAAAATGTAAATGTAATAATCCTGACTATATGGGAACAACATATATAACAGATTTGAGAAGAGATTTGGGAGAATAAATAGGTACTAATATTTGCTGAATTCACTCATACTTCGTAGCAAGGGGTCAAAAGATATCATTGGAAGCTGATAAATCAAGTAAAAATAATGGAAGTTTATGTAGCAATACAAAGGTAAATGCTAAGAAAAATGGCAACTAAAATTGAATGGAGGGGTGAAAGGGAAGCAAAAGGAAAATACTACCTTGTGATTTGCTCACAGTGTGGATGGAGCTAGATTCTGTCTAGACAGACATAGGATTAAAGGTTTTAAGTTACAGTTATAACAATAACCTTTAGATCAAAAAGAAATAATTTTCAAAGTATTAGAATAAACACACACATTCAAAAAAATTACAAAACACATTGCATGGTAGAAATTAAAATACTAAAACACAAACTTAAATAATATGACAGAACTACGCTAAAATGTTTGCTCTGTGAAAGACTGTAAAAGGATGAAAAGACAGCTACAGAATGAGAGAAAAATATTTGCAAAACGTGTATCTGACAAAGAGCTACTATTTAGAATATATTTTAAAAACTCTCAAAATGCAACCATAAAATAAGGACAGGTTGGTAAAAGGGAACCAACTTTCAGTTATAAGATGAATAAGGTCTGAGGATCTGATGTATAACATGGTGTCTATAGTTGATAACACTGTGTTGTATCATTGAAATTTGCTCAGAGAGTAGAACTTAAATATTCCCACCCCCTCCCCCCCAAAATGTAAATATGTGATGGATGTGTTAATTAATTCAATGAGAGGAAAACTTTCACAATGTATATGTATATTAAACCATTTTGTTGTACCCCTTAAATATCTTACAATTTCATACCTATCAGAATAACTAAAATTAAAAATTGGTGACAACACCAACTGCTGGTTAGAATTCAAAGAAACTGGATGACTCGTAATTTGCTGGTGGGAATATAAAATGGTATGGCCACTCTGAAAAGCAGTTTTTCCGTTTCTGAAAAACTGAACATGCATTTACCATGCAATTCAGCAATTGCATTTCTGGGCATTAATCACACAGAAACCTGTACACAAATGTACACAGCAATTTCATTCGTAAAGGCCAAAAACTGGAATCAGCCCAGATGTCCTTCAGCTGGTGAATAGTTAAATAAATTGTGGTATATCCATCATGGAATACTACTCCGCAACAAAAAGGCACAAACTACTGATACAGGAAACAATGGGGATGAATCTCCAGAGAATTATGCTGAGTAAAAAAATGCCAATCCCAGAAGGTTACCTACTGTTTCCGTTTATATTACAATCCTGAAATTCCATGATTATATATAGAAATGGAGAACAGATTAGTAGTTATCGTGGATTAAAGATGGAGTGGGGATAGGTGGAAAGTGGGTGTGACCATTATGGAGCAACAGAAGGGATTCTTCTGGTGATGGAAATGTTCTGTATCTTGACTACATCAATCTCAATATCCTGGTTGTGATATTATAGTATACTCTTGTAAGATGTTACCTTTGGGAAAAACTGGGTAAAGAGCACAGAAGATCTCTGTATTATTTCTTACAACTTCACATGAATGTATGTACAATTATGTCAAAATATAAAGTTTAATTGTTAAAAAGCTGATAGAAGGTATTTTTATTGCCTTCAGAATTACTGACAATGGATACAATGGAGTTGTTAACATTTGATACACAAGTTGTTTCAAGGGAACAATTGATAAAACCCCATTTTGATGGCATCATTTTCGTATCAGCTGCAGTTGGTTAGTAATATGTAGCATCAACTGGTCACATCATGTATCAACACTAAGTCACCAAGACTCTTAAAAAAAAATCACAACCCATAAGCGTTATAGAATTCATTACTAAAACTAAGAGAATTACTTGGAATGGTATTTTTAAATCTCACATTAACAACAAATAAGGTTTCTTTTTTTCTAACATCTTTATTGGAGTATAATTGCTTTACAATGGTGTGTTAGTTTCTGCTTTACAACAAAGTGAACCAGCTATACATATACATATATCCCCATATCTCTTCCCTCTTGTGTCTCCCTCCTTCCCACCCCTCTAGGTGGTCACAAAGCACCAAGCTGATCTCCCTGTGCTCTGCGGCTGCTTCCCACTAGCTATCGGTTTTACATTTGGTAGTGTATATATGTCCATGGCACTCTCTCACTTCATCCCAGCTTACCCTTCCCCCTCCCCGTGTCCTCAAGGCCATTCTCTACTAGGTCTGTGTCTTTATTCCCTTCCTGCCACTAGGTTCTTCATGACCATTTATTTTTTTTTAGATTTCATATATATATGTGTTAGCATACGGTATTTGTTTTTCTCTTTCTTACTTACTTCACTCTGTATGACAGACTCTAGGTCCATCCACCTCACTACAAATAATTCAATTTCGTTTCTTTTATGGCTGAGTAATATTCCATTGTATATATGTGCCACATCTTCTTTATCCATTCATCTGTCGATGGACACTTAGCTTGCTTCTATGTCCTGGCCATTGTAAATAGCGCTGCAATGAACATTGTAGTACATGACTCTTTTTGAAACAAATAAGGGTTTGAATGTCTTAGCGTGCATAAGGAAATCAGGTCTATAAAGAAAAAATTTTAAAAAATATTTTGTTCACTATTTGAAGTGACTGGAATGCTTTATTTCAATCAAAAAAAGTAAAAGTAGAAGACTGACATATCTTTTAAATACATTTAAAAGTTAAAGTCCTTAAACTGCAAGAAAATAATATCAATCTCATTAAATGAAGGAAATTATGGTGAGATTTAACAACAAAGTTAAATCATGTTAATCTCATTTACTAATACCTTTCAAAATTTCCATCTTTGCATGAGTTAAATAAGGATAGGCTTTTTTTTTTTAAGCTGATGAATTCTGACAACCTAAAACAATGATCCTCAAACTGAGAATCGTCTACTCGCATGATTACTAAAATGCAGATTCTTAGGCACCCAGTCCACCCCTGAGATTCAGAGTCATGGGTTTTTTGGTTTGTTTGCTTTTTTCTTTTTAACAACTATCCTAGGGGATTTTGATTAAGTGGTGTAAACTTTTTAAAGAAATATAATTCAGTAAAATTCAACCCTTATGTATTGGATTGGGCTCACAATTCTTTTATGAGTCAGGTTGGGGGTATGTAATTATTAACCATATCTTCTTAATCAATAGGAAAGTGACTTTTTAAAAATTAATAGACTATTTATTTTAGCAGTTCTAGCTTTACAGAAAAATTGAGGGTAAAATGTCCCTATATCCCTGTTTCCTCTATTATTAACATGTTGCATTCACGTGGTACATTTGTTACAATTGATGAGCCAGTACTGGAGAGTGACTTTGAAATGACATGTCCAAGGCTGCAAGTGTCTGGGCTTCTGCTGGGAACCTAAGCCACACCCACACCCTCACTTGAACAGGCTGCCTGGTACTTTCTCTTGAAAGATGTTGTATACAGATTAACACCATAATGACTGTAATTGTTCTGTGCCAGTATCTGAACACAGGTGGCAGCAGGACTCATTCGACTAAGCACTTTGGTTGGTGCCTGGGATGGTTGGTATTTATCCTGGCTCCATCTGATATTTCCAGATTTGTATGATGATTAGATTTAAAGATCTATGTGATTAATCCACTTGTGATTATGTAAAAACAACATCAGACAACATTTGCAGGATACCTGTTCTACTGTTGTATGATGTAATCGGTGTAATTAGGAAGGGTTTTATATCTACAGTTCAAACTTTCATATCCACTTCTTTGGAAAGAAGATACACTTCTTATAATAGCATCTTCAACTACAAATATGTTTGAAAAAGGTTTCGATGTATCATTGCAGTTACCGCAAAGATGAGCAAGAGGTAAACTGCTAACAGGTAACAGAGGAGATCGGACGTTCCTTTAAATAGAACTAAATTGGCATAGATACTGCATTAGCAGGAATCTTATTAAGTTTGTCACTATTATTTTTAAATAAAGTACGTTTAAAATTTAGTTGCCTAAGAAATCTGTGATGCGAGCCTATCATCTTGACTCCCAGCATTGTGATCGAGGAAGCGGCTGACGAGAGGAAGAGCTGATGAGCGCCTGGAGGTTGCTCAACGGACGAGAGGGCGCCTTCTCGCTGGTTGAGGGCTTGTGGCCCTCACCTGCCAAAGTGTGAGAATCTTCTACTGGTTTATCTAACACATGAGTATTAGTCCCTGTCGTGTGCCAAGCGCCCTTGCCGGGCGGCGGACTAGCGCTACTGCCAAACTGAGAACGAACGAAGAGGAACCCCGCCGGCTTCCAAAGCGCATGACACCCCGGAATCCCCCCACCCTCCGGCTGCTCCTCCGGGGGGCGTGGCCGAACGTGCGGGCGGGGGCGGGGCCTGTCGCCCGGGAAACCACGGGCAGAGCCTTTGTGCTCTTACAGGCCCCAGTTTTGGTTGAACTGTTGCAGGTGGTCGCCCTGGGCCGTTGCTTACCCCGAACGCCAGTGGGGGAAGAAGGGTCTCTGAGGCTCAGGTGCACCGAGGCCCTAGCCGCCCTTTGCGACGCCGCCGCGGGCTTCGGGAACAATAGATGTGGTTTGGGTTGGTTTTGCCCAGACCTGGTGGTGCCTCAGTCAGGGTGGCCCACAGGCCCGGCCCTAATCTCCTACGTCTCGAAGTCTACGTGCCCCTCGTCTGGAGAAGCAGAAGCGCGGACGCCGGAAAGAGCCGCTGCTGGCCGTGGGGAAGAAAGTTCTCTCTTCATCCTCGGCCTGGGCCGCCCAAGTAAGGTCGGTGGCTACAAACCACGCCACAGCTCAAACTCCCATGCTAGTGGTAGCTTCTGGAGGGCACTCATCGTCACCACCTGTTTCTGGCTTGGAGAGTTGGAAAGTTGACTATAACGTAGCTTTGAAGGGATTCCTGCTCAGGCCCGCAGGTCACCTTTGTAGATGTCAGTCTGTTGTTGCCCAACTAGGGTCCACAGAAACGACCTTCTGAACATCCGGCATGTGAGTGACACTGATTAATCAATGGTTTAATCAACAAAGGCACGTGTATTACCTACCTACTTTATCCCCTCACTACCTCTTCCCAAGGGGTTCTCACGGGCTCTGAAACTCTTCCACAGGGAGATCAGCTCTGACCGCCTAGAGGTGGGATAAGGAAGGTGGAAGGGAGACACAAGAGTATATGGGGATATACGTATGCATATAGGGGATATATTATGCATATGTATGATATACGTGTAAGGAACGGCACCAAGAAACGGGGGAGAGCTTAAACAAGCTTTATTTGGGAACGCTCCCGGGCGAGGTTCACTGGTCCGAGAGAAAGGGGCCAGAGAAGTCGCGCCCGGGCGAGGGTTTGGGCAGAATTTATAGGGGGAAAAGGGAAAGAGGTGTTGCGAATCCGGGAGGGCGCAGGTTATTCCTTATTTGGTGGTCTCTTCAGGTATCGTGGCAATATCCGGTGCCGGTTGCATCAATCTTGGGACCGTTAGTCCCGCCCCTCGAAAGGCGGGAAGGCTGGGCCAGGTGGAAAGTCCCCAGGTCAGTTTCTGGAACTGGGTGGTCCGGAAAGTCTCCAGGTCAGTTTCTGGAACTGGGTGGTCCGGAAAGTTTCGGTCTGATGCAACCTGTGAGTCTGATTGCGTTCCCCTGCCTCAGGCCAGTTGGCCTTACATCCCGACATCTTTGGTGTAATGGGGCGGCGTTCTGATCTCTGGCTACTTCTTGCTGAATGGGGGCGTCGAAAGGGGAGTCGGGCGACCAGAGGTCCGAGGCTTAAGGGAGACCAGTGGGGGGTTCTGTAGGAAGCAAGGTGTAAGGGCCGAGGAGCATTTGGTTTGTGGCCACCCGAGAGACTTCCTCCATGCGCCTGCGAAGAAACCTAAGAAAACAGGGAGCAAGCATGCTATGAAGAGGGTGCGGTCCGGGTTTGAAAGAGGGGTGTCAAAGAGTCCCTCTCTCGGCGGGCTGAGGGCCTCTACGACTTGGGGGCAGGAGTGGGAAGGGGAGGTCCCGGTATCAGAGATAGGCAAGGGGGAGGCCAGGTTTGGGTGGGGGGGGGGAGGTCGAAGGAGATAGCAGGGTTTTCAATGAACAGCAGGTGGCATTCCTGGATGCGGGAGGGGCCCAGGAGGGAGAGAGACTTGTGGCCTAGGAGGTCGACCAGCCGGTGGGAGGAAAACACGGTTAGTGGGTGGGCCAGAGTCAGTTTGAGTGTTTGGTCAGTTTGGCTGCCGCTGCTAGGGCCCGAAGGCATGGTTGCCATCCCCGAATGGCTGGGTCTAGCTGTTTGGAGAGGTAAGTCACGGGGCGGTAGGAAGGCCCTACAGGCTGGGCAAGGAGTCCTGTGGCTATTCTGACCCGTTCATCCACAAAAAGGTGAAAAGGTTGGTTTGGGTTGGGCAGAGAAAGGGGAGGAGAAGATATCAGAGCATTACGGAGTGTGAGAAAGGCCTGTCGAACGGCGGAAGGAGAGGTGAGGGGTCCTTGAGGGGTTTCTTTAGCGACTAGATATAAGGGTTTAGCGAGGAGAGCAAAGTTAGGGATCCAGTGTCGGAAAAATCCTATAAGGCCCAAAAAGGAGAGAATTTGACCCGCTGTTTCTGGAGGTTGGAGCTCACGGATAATCTGGGTGCGGTCGGCCGTTAGGCTCTTTGTCGTGGGGGTGACGTGGATTCCCAGATAAGTTACCGAGGATACAGACAGTTGAGCTTTGGCTGGGGAGACCCGATAACCGCGAGAGCCAAGGTAATTGAGATCTGCAGTGTGTTGTCTTGAGAGGCTGAGAGACGGGCTACAAAGGAGGAGGTAGGCGAGAGATTCAGGTGGGTCGGCTAGTGGAGAGGAGTCATCGTCAAAGGAAATTAGGGGCTTGGATGTAGGAGATGTCTGTTTGGCAAAAAGGATCTGGGAAGTGGAACAATCGACGCAGAGAGAAGGGCGGGAGCATAAATACCGGAAGGCCTGGACATAAGGGACCTCGGACCATTTGCCCGTCCTGCGGCAGTAATTATCTAGATCATGGAGGATGTTAAAATCGAAAGTCCCTTCAGGAGGCCATTTGGATTGATTGTCTAGAGGATATTGTGGCCAGGCCACAGTGGAATAGAAAATAAGCCGTCGGCAACGTTGATCTTGGGAGAAGCCGAGGGCTGTAAAATTGGCTAGGAGACACCCCAGGGGCGTCTTAGAATCTGGTTTCGATTGTGAGGTTCCCATGACCCCCAGTTTGAACCTGAGTGAATGGAGAGGGAGAGAGGCGTCCCTGGTCTCAGTCTCCAATTCACGGCAGGTCGGAGGGCGGTCAGGCGATTGGGACGTCTCCACAGTTGCCCGAGGCCCGGAGAGAGGACGGAGGAGTCCCTGATGCAGCCACGATTAAGGACAGGGAGTCCGGTGGGCAGGGACTCTGAGGGTCGGAGGGAACAAGGGAGGGGGACTTAACCCGTTTTCTGCCAGATCGGGTGGATGAGTAGAGGTTCCCTGGTTGTCTCCTGGGGGAGGGGAGGAGCGGCCCGCGCGGTAAACCGCGGGGCTTGGTACATCTCCCGGGTTTCGGCACCAAATGTAAGAAACGGCACCAAGAAACGGGGGAGAGCTTAAACAAGCTTTATTTGGGAACGCTCCCGGGCAAGGTTCACTGGTCGGAGAGAAAGGGGCCAGAGAAGTCGCGCCCGGGCGAGGGTTTGGGCAGAATTTATAGGGGAAAAAGGGAAAGGGGCATTGCGAATCCGAGAGGGTGCAGGTTGTTCCTTATTTGGTGGTCTCTTCGGGTATCGTGGCAATATCCGGTGCCGGTTGCATCAGTCTTGGGACCGTTAGTCCCGCCCCTCGAAAGGCGGGAAGGCTGGGCCAGGTGGAAAGTCCCCAGGTCAGTTCCTGGAACTGGGTGGTCCGGAAAGTCTCCAGGTCAGTTCCTGGAACTGGGTGGTCCGGAAAGTCTCCAGGTCAGTTTCTGGAACTGGGTGGTCCGGAAAGTTTCGGTCTGTTGCAACCTGTGAGTCTGATTGCGTTCCCTTGCCTCGGGCCAGTTGGCCTTACAATACGTATGCATATAGGGGATATATACGGATGCATATGGGGATATACGTATGCATATAGCTGATTCCCTTTGTTTTACAGCAAAAACTAACACAACACTGAAAAGCAATTATACTCCAATAAAGATGTTAAAAAAAAATAACTCTTCCCCAGTGAATTCCAGTAGATAATGATTTTGGAGTCCCTTTTAATGTCCATTTCCTCAAGGATAGTCCAGGGAATCTCACCACTTCCCTGCTTCCTCCAAAGACATAAGCCTCAACCAGGACCAGCTTCGTAAAGGGCCAACCTGTGCAGTCACAGGGCTCCAGGCTCAGAAGGACACCGTGATCAGAGGAACCTGTGCTTGCTTTAATGCTCTGTAGTCGGAATCTTAGAATTCTTCATTTTTGAACAAAGGGCCCCCATTTTCATTTTTCACTGGGCCCAGCCAAATATGCACCAACTCTCCTCTTTTCCCAAAGGCTTTCTTTGGTGACATTCAATTACACAAAAATATAATTACAAGGGTTCTTCTCTAGACCTCTCAGTAGCTACCAAGACATCCAGAGACAGAGGAGGGATGATTATACTGACTAAACTGAGAGTTGTTGAAATATTGAGACCGTTGTGATCCAGTGCTCACCCTCCACTCCTCATATTTTAGGGTCTTTGAAGAATGTGCAAAATGTGGAAATGCTACACCTCTGAGGGCAACAACGTTTGGTTCCTTGCCTAAGGAGAGAAACAGGTAAGGAATCAGCTAATCATGTATCGATGGGTGGGTGCTCTGGGACTGTTTTTACAGGTGCCCTGGAAGGGCTGGTGCAGGTGGGTGTGGGGGAATGCAGAGAGCAGAGGCTGCATTGTTTGACATGGTTCAGAGGAAGTAAGAGACTTGGAGACGGAGATCCTAAAGCTGGACCGTCCAATTCTGTAGCCACAAACTACAGGTGCTCCTGAGCACTTGAAGGGTGGCTGTCTGAAATACGATATGCTCTAAATGTGCAAAGAACTCCAGATTTCAAAGTCTCACTTTTTATAGTAAAATATTCAATTGTTTAAAATAAGTTGCATGTTGAAATGATATTTTGGATATATTAAGCATTAACATGAATTGCACTTGTTCATTTTTACTTTTTTTTTTTTTTTTTGCTGTACGCGGGCCTCTCATTGTTGTGGCCTCTCCCGTTGCGGGAGCACAGGCTCCGGACGCGCAGGCTCAGCGGCCATGGCTCACGGGCCCAGCCGCTCCGCGGCATGTGGGATCTTCCCGGACCGGGGCACGAACCCGTGTCCCCTGCATCGGCAGGCGGACTCTCAACCACTGTGCCACCAGGGAAGCCCAAAAAAGGCTCTTAAGTAACATTTTGATTTTAGGTTACGTACCAAACAAAGATGTGCAGAAAACTAAAAGAGGACATGCTAAGTAAGGAAATGGATTCAGCAAATTTTACAGTGGTGCCTTGAACTTACTACAAGTCAGTGGAATATGAGTTACACAGACCAGTGTGATCAAATATTTGGTGGAAACTTCCCGTTTTGCAGATAACCTGGTAATGTGGAAAAAACAACTTGCAGGAAGATTGCTACTTCTGTGTCGAGTATTTTCTGTATAAAATAATTGAATACGGGCTTCCCTGGTGGCGCAGTGGTTGAGAGTCCGCCTGCCGATATAAGGGACACGGGTTCGTGCCCCGGTCCGGGAAGATCCCACATGCCGCAGAGCGGCTGGGCCCGTGAGCCATGGCCGCTGAGCCTGCGCGTCCGGAGCCTGTGCTCCGCAACGGGAGAGGCCACAACAGTGAGAGGCCCGCGTACCGCAAAAAAATAAATAAATAAATAAAATAAAAATAAATAATTGAATACTTTCAGTTTCAAAATTGAAGATTACTCGGAAGCTACTTGCCACATAGAAAAAAATTGAGGCTGAAAAATTTTATCAGTACCATTTATGATAAAGTGAGAATAAAACGAATGAATGGTATGTATAAAGAACTTTAGTTTGAAAGTGACAAGGACATCATCAACTCACAAGAAACACTATAAGATTCACAAATGACTAGAAGATCCTGCAATCCTCCAAACCAGTTCTGGTAATCCAGAGGGCGCATAGAGTAGGACAGTCAATAGGTATATCCACAACTTTTGATGAGTCTGTAGCAGGGACTCTGACTTTCTTGCAAGAGTAGGATGCTTTGAGGACTTATGATTGGTTTTCAAACCAAGTGATTATTATAACAAAGAATAGTTTAAAACCGTGGATGGGATGAAGTCTTAACCTAGCCTGACAGTAATCACTGATATCCTCTTTATACCTACGGGGTGAGCTAGATGACTTTATATAGCTCTTAAGTGGCACTCATTTATATATGAACCTGATATTCTCACAAAGGCAAAAATGATTGTATTTGTATCTTTTCCTCTTTGAAGTAGGAAGTTCCCCCTTTCTTTTCACTTAGGGAAAAAAGCAGTCATTTTTTATATTGTACACTTTTTCTTGTTAAAAGTTTGATAGTTGTTTTTTTAGTTTTGTAGGAATTTAATTTTGTGAGCTAATTACACTAGGAACTGAAGTTGAGGAATTTACATCTCACAACTTTATGAACTTTTTATACTTTAGAAATTGATTTTAAATGAGGGTGGCAGGATGAAGATGGGTAAGATTAGTGCAGTGGCATTTGACATATATGACTGAATGGAAGAAGGACAGCCAGTGATCTCACTGTGCATTCAAATATAAACATATAATGATTACACCGTGTAATCACCACTGACATCAAGAAATAGAAAGTTGCCAGCATTCCAGGACATTTCTGCATGTTGCTTCCAAATTACAGCTCTTCTCCTCCCCACAGGTGACCACTATCCTGTCCTGTGTAGTAATTCCTTTTTTCTATACCAGTGGTTCTCAAAGGATGGTCTGGCATCAGCATCATCTGGGAATTTGTTAGAAATGCAAATTCTTGGGCCCTTCCCCAGACCTAATACACTTACACATTTTTTTGTAGGATGCATATTTATATGATTAAAGTATAAAGCATTGATTCTCAAACTTTAGCATATATCAGAAAAACCTGGGTGGCCTATTAAGACACAGATCCTGAGCCCTACATCTAGAGTTTCTGTTGATCTCTTTCTGTTGTCTGCTTTATTCACTAATTTTAATTTTCCTATATCCTGGGTATATTTGACTCTGTGCTAGTCATTGCACTTGAAAGGTTATTTTGTAGGAATAATTGTGAGGCCTATAATGAAAATACTTTGCTCCAAAGACTATTTGCATTTACTTCTGCCAGGCACCCAGGGGCACTACCAGTCTGGGACCACCTGTTCAAAGTTTGCTATTTCCTAGAATACGCAGGGATTGTTATTCTGTTTTAATTCTCCCCAGGTTATTCCAATTCTTGTTCACCTTCACTCTGAGATCCTGGAACCCATATTGTTGTAGGGGAAGGTCTCCTGTCAGAGTCCCCAACTTGCATGGACCCAGAGTTTTGTTTTCTATTCCCTTCTGCACCCTGAAAGGCCATCAGAATGGAGTTTCTAATTTTCTGGGATTAGCTTCAGGCGTATCTACTTTTCTAGATTCTTGGCTTCTCTTTACTTTGTGCTGATAATTCCTTCCTCTTTTATAATCTCTTTGATGCTTTTAAAAAGATAATTTTAAATACATTTTATCCAGTTTTATAGTTGTTTTCAGCTGTAGGCCTGATGTGAACAACCTAAACGACCATTAGCAGAAACCGGCAATCTGCAAAATACATCATTAATGCACAGCAGGTTTTCAAAATACTGTGGTTTTTCAAAACATTAAAAATACATGGATGTTGATATCCTTAAAAAAAAAAACACCTTCTGTTTTTAGCTTATACCTTTATCCACACATGGGACACACAAGATGATTTTGATACAAAAACTCTCCTTGTGAAAAGATTCCCAGGGTTGCATATTTATGACATTTAATCACTCCAAAATGTTCTGACTTTTACTAGTGGGTTCCAAGGAATGCTTCCCACAATTTCAGAAAGCCTCACAAAATGCAGAGATGCGCCTAGTACAGGATCCATTTCACAGCGTGTGGCACTTTCTATGAGGTTTAGTTTTTCCATAGCTTTCACAAGTCTGGAGACATGAAATTTAGGAAGCATAAATGGTTTACACTCTTATCTCTATTAAGGTTTCTGTCTGGGATAGCACATGGAGTGCCCCAAACTTTATTTGCTGTCAAGTACTAAGCATTTGATGGATATTTTAACCACCTCTCTCCCCGACCCCCAAAGTATATCACATCCCCTTTTTTTCCTGTCAGGTTGATCCCTTGAGGTAGGCAAGATTCTCAAAGAGGAAATACCCCTTCCCAACTTGTTCCTGACAAGTCAGAGCACATTCTTTCTGGGTAAGGATGAGTCTGTTATGTTTATCTTTAGGTATCTTTTGAAGGGGATTGGAAATAGAAATACACTAATCCTGCATTTGACCATTTGGAAGGTAAACTGGTAGGCATTTTAGAGGTCAGAGATTGTAAGAATTTGGTGAGATGCTTCATCTTGAGTACTCTAATTAGTGCTTAACAATTGGGATTTATAACAATCCCTGTAGGCTAGGCTTGGGGTAGGAATGAACACACTCTGACAGCTATTTCTAGAGAATTTTAAGGATGTTTGACAGTCACTTGATGACGTCAGGATTCCCTGAAAGGGGGAACTGTTGGTTGTGGTAAGAGCCCATGACCCCTGGAAGCTGTGGGTCAGGATACATGTCAGGATTTAACCCTGGTGGTAGCAAGAATTAGCTTATCTCAGGTGAAGGCTATAACTCAGCTAGTTAGAGCAGAGAATGCCTTAAGGTAGGACAACAGGTGCTGCTCCCAGTGCCTTTCTTTTCTCTCCTTGAGATGTGCCCTGAATCTGTGGGTTTATGGGACTAATGCAGGATGGGAGTCCCGCCAGGTTAGAGGGGCACTGAGTCTCCGCAGTCTGTTTTTTTAAATCAGTTTAGAGGGTGATGTCATTGATAGGTAAACCAGTAAATCTATACTCTAGCTACCTTATTACTGGACCTAAAGCTCATGTTTTGAATACAGACCTTCAAACTGAAACACAGAATGTAGGAACTCTCCAGTTCAGAGCTACACATAACAAGGGGGCTTTCCATAGAGCTTTTTGCAGCCACGGACTTTTTAAATTACAAGTCATGACCCACCACAGTCTACCCCTTAGTTGACAACTTTTGTCTAGACCAATATGATGACTCCAGACCAACATGATGCCATCATTATTTTCATATATCTCATCACTTAAAATAGAAATATTTAGTTCACAAATAATAAACTTCCTTAATATAAATTCCCACTTTATCACAAGGTATGGAAAACCAGGACCACATGAAATTCACTCAGCTTAGCCACTTCCTTATGGATATATCTTATTGAATCCCATGTGTTTTGGGAATTGGGATATAGGTATTTTTTCTCTTTAATAGCACATGGTCCTCCTTCCTAGCTAGAATATAACATTAAGGACATGTGGTTTTAGACCACTGTATATCTTATGACTACCATTTCTTCAGCATTACTGTTGCATATATATAGTAGCTGTATCACAGATCTCTGAGTTGCTTTGTCAATCTAAACTTTGGAGATTATAAATTCTGTCCCGGATCCCAATAAGGATTTTAGGGAGCCATTTAGTGGCTCCCAGTGCTGGTCTAGTTAGTCCCAAATAGCAGCACCTACTGTACTTTTCATGC